GAACGAGATCGCGAATACAAGCGGCCGAAATGAGGTTTCTCCGCAGGGTGTCTGGGCTCTCCCTTAGGGATAGGGTGAGAAGTTCGGATATCCGGGAGGGCCTCGGAGTAGAACCGCTGCTTCTTCACGTCGAAAGGAGCCAGTTGAGGTGGTTTGGACATCTGGTGCGGATGCCTCCTGGGCGGGTACCCAGGGAGGTTTTCCATGCCTGTCCTACAGGGAGGAGGCCCCGAGGCAGGCCCAGGACTCGCTGGAGGGATTATATCTCTCGGCTGGCCTGGGAACGCCTCGGTGTCCCCCCCGAGGAGCTGGTGGGGTTAGCTGGGGAGAGGGAGGCCTGGGTGCCTCTACTGAAGCTGCTACCCCCGCGACCCGAACCCCGGACAAGCGGAAGATGATGGATGGATGGATGGATGGGTCTGTATAATGATTGTCTGAGCTTTGCTCCAGGCTCAGTCATGTTTGCTTTTGTTCTGGACAGGATGTACAGCTGCTATGAACCTCCCTGTAATGGATGCTAGATTTTTGGCTCTGAGCTGTATCTCACAACCTCAAGTCCACTGGAGTCTCCTTTCCTGGTCTGGTTCCACACTTCTTCTTGTATCCTGTGACCATCAGCCCTCCTCACTTGAGTCCTGCCTCACAGAACTTGTTCCACAGCCGTTTGACCCCTCAGAAGCCCAAAAATGTCTTTTGCTTTGGATAAAAGCAGCTGCTAAATAAACCAAGTATAAGTACATCTATGTCAAAACTTTATTAAAAATACATTCCATTGAGGGTGTTTTTTGAAGAATGCAGTTTATTGACATTTTCAAGTAAAGGAACTAAAAAAGATGAATTGTCCAGTTGAACAGTGTTATCAAAATAAAATGCAATCAATGCAGTTCCAGCCAGAACCAATAAGTGTCCTCAGAGTGACAGTAAATGCAGGCAGCAGAGGGACACAAATATCATAGTGATACCCATTTTAGACAGACTGTAGCAACTATGTTACATTTTTCTCGAGAATCATTGCCTGACTTATGTAATATGGCTGTTAAAGTTTAAAATATGACCAGTTTCATGCTTATATTTCATTCTATTTGTTGAAAACCGTAACTGATTTAGTAAAAGAATATAAGAAAATAACACTGTGCAACACACACCATAAATTAAATTTAAAAATCTATTCCTTATTGATGAATTTTAAAATGTTTTTAAGATTAGACACTTCTCAGTAGAATTTTGATTTATAAAAAAAGTCTTGTTATTATTTGTGGACTGCACGGGACATGAACTATTTGTTGACTTAGGCTTTACATATCAAATTAATCTGATTGTCATGTGACCACACCCACTATGCCTGTCAGAGGAGGATCCTGTACAAACCTGCCATAGCTTTTAAAGGAGCCAGTGTCAGTGTGTGACAGAGAGCAGCA